AATGTAATCTTTACTGTGCTACTTTATCTGTATCTGATTTAGAATGAGCAGAAATCTGTGAGAAATATAACGACCCAAAGACAAAAGAACTGATAAAAATGAGCTGTTACAGGAGCAATAGCCATGTGGGCAGCGCTGTGTGATATGCCATAGCTGTGCACAAGGTGTTTGTCACAGCTCCAGACTTATTTGTTCATTAATGACGTCATCAGCATCTAGTCGACTTCGACTCGACTTTCATCACATAAAAGTCGACTTTAAAAAAATCAGAAGTCGTTCAACCCCTACTCTGCAGCTGTAGTGTAGCTGTGAGCCGCACTGACTGTAATGTGGACCGCTGGTGTGAGAAAGGCAACACATGCACGTGTCCTCTAGTATGCATGCTAATTTGTGGGTTTGTGTTAAGTCTCTGTGGTCTTTTTTTGTTTTCCACATTTATTTGTATTTTTTTGCCATTTACTGGTGTCGGAGACGGTTCCAGTGGGTGTGTTGTTTGCCAGCTGGGCGTTCCTCCTCTTGTTAATGTGAGCGTGTGGCAGCCGTGGGTGCGCTTTTATTCCAGCCGTGTTTGCATTAGTGTACATACGAACACAGCCAAGCGTGTAAACGCTGCCCTCCACCAGCTTCAGGCAGACGGCTCGCTGCGTGGTTTAATGTCTCGGCTGAAGCATGACTGATTTGGGGAAGGATGCTTTGGGGAGAACATCGCCACACAGATGAGATCTGATGCAGTGTGAGCAACTGCCTGGATTCAACCGCATAGTGCTTTTGCGGAAACACACAGATGAGGACCTGATATTTGGGCTGACATGATATTTATTACAGTTAATGTGATGACTGATATAAAATTTTGTTTGCTTACCCCAAAAATTAAAACCGTCATTTACTTGCCCTCATGTTGTTCTAAATATGGCTTTTCCTTGAATTTTATGAAATCTCTTTGAAGATTATCCTGCAACTCTGTATTTCCGTCTATTGAAAGCATTATAAAAGTGGTCCATGTGATTCCTGCCCTATTCAATATTTAAAGGGTTAGTTTTATTAAAAAATAAAAAAAAGTCATCAAATACTTCCCCTATGTTGTTACAAACCTATGAAACTTGAGAACTGAAATCTGAGGATTCATATAAAACGTCTTTATTTGTGCTTCGAATGTGAGTGAAAATCTTATGGGTATGGAAAAACATCAGATGAGTATTTGATGACAGAATTTAAATTTTTGAATGAACTCTCCCTTTATGGTTTTATTCACTGAAAGTCTACATGGCGATAAAGTCGCCAATAGATTCTGCATTTGCATTATAGAAAAGTAGCATTATAAAAAATGTTTATAAGCAGGTTTTTAAGGAGCACCTTCACACCACACACACATGCACCTGTTATTTCATTCAGTACCAGTTAAACTATTGTTTATGACTAGTGTGATCAATCCAGATTTTTTTCTAAGTGCTTTATAGGGCATGCATTTTCAATCAGATTATGCATACAGAATGCATTTTGTGAAATAAAATGTAGATGCTTTGATTGCATTGTCAGTAAACGTGATTTAGGCCATGTTTTTAAATGTTGTTCTTTGTACACGTGCACATTTTTCTCAGTCTGAGTGCCATGAGTGTTGTTTTTACTGTAAAATGTTTTATTTAAAAAAAAATTGATAAAGACCCATTCTTTCTATTTTTATGAATTGATGGTTTTTATAGCCATTGTTTATAGGGGCAACCACTCAACTTCATAACCAGTTCTTCAACCAGCTGTTTTTTTTTAAATGCATGAACTTGCAAACTGGACTTGTAAAGTGTCATTTTTCTAATCTTGAGTTTGCAATTTAATTTATATTTATGCATTCGACGGATGATTTACGCAGTTTACAGTGCAATCAAATTATACAGTTTATCAATATGTGCATTATTTCAGTTCAGGCCAATTCACAGTACGTTGTTTTTGATCTGGTGTTTGATTGGAATGTTAGTCTAATTTTCTTTTTTAACCCTAAAACATAGGCACACACTATTCTCTGTCTGTACTGTACGACTGACTGTGTTGGTCTCAGTGGTGAGGAGGTAGACCAGACTGACAGGCAGCTGTTGAAGACTAGGTGGGGTACGAGGGCTAACAGATGAGCGGCTGGAGTGATTCTTATTTTTAGCCATGAATCTGAGCACTTCCCGCTGAGAATAAGGAGACATTACAACAGCGTCAACTTCCTCACGCAGTTCTCAAACGAAAACACAAAGTTGAGTCTGTGTGTGCAAAGGGTGACCTTTATTAGTCAAAACTTTGATTTCATTGTTAACAAGAGTCAAGATGGTCAGTGAAAAGTTAACTGATATGGGCCGAAGCCATTGTTTAGATAGCAGGGTAACCTATTGATAATAAATTGCATTACATATCAAATTGATCACCATCTGTAATCATATCAGCTGAGACATGCACAAAATTTACTCTATTCACAAACTTTTTCACAGCAAAAAAAAAAAAGTACTGTTGAGTACTCATGAATTATCCCTTTATGGGCCAATAGTCAATGTAGAAGGAACCTAACTGGCCAAATATTGGTTTATTTTTTATTTTTTTATTTGGTAAACTGATTAATCTTTTTCCTCTCTTTTTCTAGACTTTGTGTCCTTGTTTGACTTGGAAAACGATCTTCCAGATGAGTTGATACCCAACGGAGACCTGGGGCTGATGTCCATGCCCTCTAATGGAGACGGAGGGGTGGGGAGCCGGATGGGGGGCACTGTCCCGGACGCTGCTGCCAAGCACAGGCAGCTGTCCCAGCTCCTGCAGGCAGGGAGCGGCTCTGGTCTGGCTGGAAACCTCAGCCCTCAGTCTGGAATGGGTGGCCAACTGGGTGCCTTGGGGAAGAGTCCCATGGGCCAGGGCTCACCCGGTCACCAGACCCAACCTCCAAAGCCGGTTGGCAACCCTACCGGTCAGGGCAACAACAGTCCGGGTATGGGCCTCAGTGCAGGTTTCAACCCAGCCATGCTGAACAATAACAACCAGACTCATGGACTCATGGGGCAGAACATGGCTCCGCAGGGGCAGATGATGAATGGCATGATGGGGCCGGCCGGAAGAGGCAGGGCAGCTCCGGGGATGCAGTACCAGGGTCAGGCCATGCAGGCAGCACCGGGCACCGGGCAAGGGGTCACCGTTTCTGGCAGCGTATTGGCGGAGACACTTACCCAGGGTGCACCACAGATGGGGGCACACAATGCCATCAATCCCCAGCAAGCGGGAAACATGAACAAGGTAAGTCGCCATTGCTGTTTTTTATGTTTTGCGTCCTAAAAATGTTCAGTGTGGTTGGGTGTAATGATTAGGCAAGCTTACACGAATACAGATAAACAAATTGTTTCAGTTTCGACCAGTTTCGTTGGTGTAGTTTCAGTTTCAACCTATTATTTCCACTACAATTGGTGGAGTAAGAAACTCGTGCTGTTTGTTACTTGTATTTAGGAAGGTTTACTACTTGTTGCATGATGGTTCGCTAATTGTTTTGCCATTTTCCTTATCAAGTATCAAAATGCAAGCCTTAAAGTGACAGGAAATTGTGGGTTATGTTCAGCTTGAGGTGTATGGACAGCATCTGTGACATGCTGTGGTTTATGATGGATATTTTCAACCCTTATATATATCATTGAATGGGGGAGAATAAGAGATGGGAAATAGAAACTTCTTTCTACAAATAAAGGTAGTTCATAGAAAGAAAAAAAAAGATTTTGACTGGTCATTTGGAAATTCTGTCTGATACATTGTACTAGTACAGATGATTGCTGTTGGCATTTGTTTGTTGTTTGGTTAATATTGCAGTGGTGCTCAGTTACAGTAGTTGTGTAGTGTGGGTTGAATCGGTCCTGTTTAAAGGAATAGTTCATCCAAAAATGAAAATTTTCTGAAAATGTACTCACCCTCACCCACTGCAGTGAATGGGTGCCGTCAGAATGAGAGTGCAAAAAGCTGATAAAAACATCACAGTAATCAACAAGTAGCCTAATCCACACCACTCCTGTCCATCAGTTCATGAAACCATTAGTAATTCATTAAGACATTTTAACTAAAATACGAGACCTCTGTCTGTAATATTGCTTTCTCCAGTGAAAAGTGGTCTCGTCTGCATCAGGAGAGAAATCTGCACAGATCAAGCAAGCGAAAACAGTTTCATTATTCTGCTCTGCTGCTGCTAATGTAATTTTTACACGTAGACCATCTCATGTCCATGAAATGTGCATTAAGATCATGAAAGCACTAAGTTCTCCCCGTTTTTACATTTGCACAATTCCAAACAAATAAATACACTTAAATGGTTGTTGACTGGAGCACTAAACACATAGTAGTTTCATATACCGTATTGTCCCGAATATAAGACGATATTTTTTTCTTGGAAATACATCTGAAAAAACGCGGTCGTCTTATATTCAGGGTCTAGACTTTGACATGTCAATAATACACCCACAACACTAGGTGGCGCCAAATACGCATAAAACGAGTGTGCCATGAAATACGTAATGTAATGCGTGTTGTAAATATCGCGAGTAAAAACAAAAGAGAAAGAAAACCTTACAGCTGCATGAGGCATGACTGTCACGTTAGCCTGATGGCAACAAACTCCCTTTGTGATTTTAAAACATAAGACAGTACCCAGATTTGAAGACTACAGTAAAATTTAACTTCTACTGTTAATAAGATTTCGGTAGGCTACTATTAGATGGATAGCCTAAATGTCCTAATTCAGATGGGCTACCTGTTTTTTGTTTTTTT